CATTGTAATAATGGCTTATTTAAGCCTCTTGTATAAAAAAAAGGGCAAAATTTTTTTTTGTTTCACAACAGAATAAACAGTCTTTACATCAGAAAAGTCTTTTTGCATCTCTACTCGTGGCAAAAATGCCTTCGTATGTGTACTGACTGAAAATATAAACCGCTACAAAACTCTTGCGCATTTTCGATACAAGCTCTCGGCCTAAACATAGAAATGTTCGATTTACCTAGTCAAGCTCCGGAAGTAGAGAAATAACCCGCTTAGATAAAGTGCTACTAACTCTTCGATGTTCGCATTGTAAGTAGAATAATTGCACTAGTTTATCAGTGACCTTATAAATTGTTGTTTTTGACACATTAAATTCTCTAAATTGTAGGTTTATTTTATATTGTTATTGTGACATGGATTCCTAATTTCCCAATCACAATATCTCTCTTAATATAAAATGAGGACTAACTTTATTACCAGATTTTAAACTACTTATTATTCGACCAAAACAAGTCAACACATCATAATATGACATTTTCCTTCTCTGTTTAGTTTACAATAGTTTTGTTAAAATCAGATCAGCCCTGCAATTCTCTAAAATTCCGAACCCGAATTCGAATTCACTCAGGTGTCTTAATTCACTTCAAAAAGCAGCATGCGCTCAACCTTGAATTGGTAATGCTTTGAATTGGTTTCGTGGCATAAATGAAGTGAGTTTCGAAATGACATATCTGAAACACGCATATTCAATCAAATTTGTTTTGTACTTTTATAAAAAAAAATGGAATCGATAGAATTTCTACACTAAATGAAGTGACTAATACAGAATCGCAGGGCAGCATACCATTATGAATGCATAATTGATCAATTATAATAGTTATTTTCTACTTTTAAGACTTGACGTGCTACACCACCCAGTGAAGGTTATTAATATACCTATAGACATTAACTTCACGAGTGCAGTGGTTAGCGCGTTCGATATGTTATTTCACATTGATGCGCGATGAGAGACCAGAAATTTATTATTTCGAGTTATTATTATGATGAACGCGTAGCATTACACAAGAAGATTATGTATTAATACAAATGTTTAATTTTCTTGAGCATGACAAACTCGAGAACGTTTTGTTTACGTCCAACTGCCACATCACACTCTCGACTAAAAAAAAGTGACGTTTGGTGTACTTCTTCTTTTTTATTTAATTACTCTTCTGCGCATTTCGAGTAAATTTCAAGTCAAATCTTAAGTAATATCAAGTAAATTAATTCAAGCCAAGTAAATTAATTAATTTTTACATCTAAAATGAAAATAAAGTGAATGAAAGTGGGGATATTTGCGATTGTGTCGTTAGAGCATATCTCGAATTTGTCATGTAATGGGGGCATATCTGCTTCGGCAAGTATGTTGATTGATATATACATCTTTCTCCCATTTCTATTCGATGTTTTTTCATCCATAGAGAAAGCTTTTGACCCAGCAGTGGGGACGTTAATAGACTGGTGAAGATGATGATGATTTACTTCATAATAAATTTTACGTAGACCTTCTTTTTTCCATGCATTATCAACCATTCTTGCTGACTGCTTTAAATTAATTTGTAAATTATCTATTTTCAAGTCCCTAAAAAATTATTTAATAAAAATGCAGTCCCTTGAAAAAAATATATTTATTCTATGAACATGAGTCCATGTCCAAAAGAACAAAATTTTCAAATAAACAGTACGTAAAGAGTGCCTTTTGTCATTGGCAATATTACACTCTAATTGGTACCTACATTAGCCTTTTTATGATTTTCTTAAAGATTAAACATTGAAACGATGACACTTAATTTATGCTAAGTGGTTTAAAATAAAGGTTATCCTCTATATACCTTACTACACCCTTTCTCTTTCTTTCATCTTCTTGCTTTGATGTAATCAGTTGTTTAGAGTGAAGATCTGAATTGATAATTCGTCACGGCGCTAAAAATTCATGAGGAATAATCCAATTCTACACAGTATCATCTTATTGTGAGGTAATTGGGGTCATATTCTGAGAAGTTAGCTGCACTAACCATTAACACGACTTTTTACTAGGTTCTTCTAGAACTTTAAAAATAATAGCAAATAAAAAACACGGTTCATTAGGTTTCTTAAGTTTTATTTTTAATTTGGAAAAAACTAAATTAAAGAAAAAAAAATATTTTTACCTGACCTTATTTGAGAGCTTTTGACATTAAAACAATACAATGATTATAAATGGGTAATGTATACTTGGTACAGCTTAACTTTACTCTGAGATGAGATTCGAAAAGCAATAAAAATAGTATTTTACTGTTAAAACCCTATTATCACGAAATCGTCCATAGTTAAGTATACATATAGGTTAATGCTTACTATAATTTAATATGATTGCATCATACAGCTTAATTTTTGTGTTACAACACCATTAGCTTATTGTCAGGTAGATATGTATCCCAGGGTCTAGGTATGGAGCAGTCCCTGCTGGATCCCACGTCCTTCCCCCTAAAGTGAGGGTGCATCGGAGTTGGTATGGCGTCCACGTTTACACTAGTGCCCAGGGAGTCCGTGTGGATGGAAAGCCCCTCAATCGACTGTCGCCTGTCAAGCGGCAGAGATAGTGCATAAAGCATTCTCCCTACGGCAAAAAAAATGTAGTTATATAAGTATAGCTATTACTTTATAAGCGCAAATGGTTGCAATATTAAAAAAATTGGGTTAAGCCCAATTTTAAGTTTTTGGGACAAAAGACACGTTACCTTGTATTAGCAGTGTTACTTTGGAAAACCTGTTTAGCTTGTATCAAGATTTGCCTTCACTAAAACAGTAACTGTTTTATAATGAAATACATGATCAGTATGACAATATTCTTACTGTGTTTAAAATATAATTAAACTATTCAGATGAAAGTAAACTTTAAATTATGTCATCGTTAATAATGTTTTGGTAATAAGTTTATTATATTATTTTTACTTTAACTTTGAGTATACGATTTGAAATATCCCTAAATATTTTGTCTAATAAGGTACACATAAAAGAGCTAAAAATAAATAAATGCTGTTAGTTACTAATATTAATATGATTATAGTAAAAGTTACGAGAAAAAATCGAAAAAAGTAGCAAATTATCTGGGGTAATTTTAGAATATTATACCATCGAGAAAGATATAAGAGCGTTCTGGCAAATAATTGCTTTTTATTTATTTTATTTCTTTTTATTTCTTTTTATTTTACTTTTTATTTATTGTATTTAATTCTCTTATTTCATATACCTATTAAACCTCAAGTTAGGATTGAGGGTGGGATAAACATCCCATCTTGGCCAATCGTGGGTAGGAGCATGGAAACCAGTGTATTTTACCTACTGTTTTGTTTTGCACTATGGTGGCGTTATGTAATGATGCATTTGGCGCGGTCGAGGCTCAAGGACCGACGGGTGCAAGTGCATACGACATGCAACACAGACTGTAACTCAGAGGTACCCAAACAATTTTTTCTCGTATACCATTTTAAAAAATTTTCTGGTTTCGGTGGACCCCCTGCACCTACATTTTTACCATATTCCCAAAATTCGTCCTAACCCCTTTTTTATATCACACGTCTTTACGTGGGGTCTACGTTGGGATTCAACGGGGGTCTACGTTACTACGGTCACGTTACTACGGTCTACTTCAACGGACCACTTAGGAAATCACTGTATTAACTTAATATTGACAAATAAATAGTCGGGAAGAACAAAGATGTAGGATTATTAAAGAGGGAACCTCTTTAAATCCCATTTCTTAAATAAATAAATATATTAGATAACATAAAATACATTGCTTAGATTCACAGATGAGTAGCTAAAGCATTATGAAGTATTTCAGACAACGAAGGTACAACAACACCCAGAACCTAGACAATACGGAAAAGTTCATTTCTACCATTGATCCGACCGGGTATCAAACTTGCAATCGAAAAGATTACCAGCATGCAAGTGCAAGTGGACTTTATTATATACTGGAATATATAATAAAGTCCACTTTGTCCCTGGTACTCTGAGATGAGCCTCGAAAAATAGACAGTCATTTCCGTTCCTTTTAACTAACATATTAAAAAAATTGAATTTTGAAAATTTCGAAACTTAGATATCAATACAAATACGAAAAAGTTCAAATAGAATATGAGTTGTTTATTGAGTTTTGAAAACTAATTAACTTTTAAACATGAAAGAAAACCGGAAGGGTTGTCATGGAGAAATCAAGAACGTACCGTAGCGACATCTAGTTTGATTTCGGGAACTAAGGTTTTTTTTTAAATACCTCTTCATTCATTAGCAGTTTTTTGGCTCACCTTATGGGCAAAATTCTCAATATTCTCAGTACACATAATATTCAATTTATAAAAAAAAAATACTAGATTTGAAAAATCCAGACCAATAAAAACAGTTACAAAAAATATACACTGCGGATTTCTGTCGCCGTCGAGCTCATTAAAATGTTTTAAGTTTTGTAGATTCGTATTATTTTCTTTTGTACTTTGTTTTATTATAATGATATTATATAAAATATTGTGAATCCACGGTTTCTTATTTAAATTATTCTCTTTAGATATCATTTAAAAGGATACTTAAGAGGACGCTATCACCGAAATTGCAAACTTTCAACAGTTGAAAGAAAGATACTCTAGAATAAGATACTCCAGAAAGATACTCTATAATATGGGCACTATAGCTAATCATCTTAGAATCTGAGCAATATAAGTGATGTTGTTTAATTTTTTTTTATGATCTTCATTTCAATGTTTTGCCTAGGATTACCTTGTTGCACACAATAATATCTTGGATTTCATTAGAGCCCTTATTACATTTTAATCGAGATGTAAAAACTCCATAAGAATTAAATTATTATGCGCACTATCGTCCGGTCAAGGAGTAATCATAATTGTTAATTTTAATTATCAGAACTTCCAAAGGCCATACGGCAGATGAATGGTTTAGCTTGCCATAAAGTAAGCGTGTACATTTCGTAACGTACATCGCGATGGTCGAACGCCGCGCGCGGATTTATCATCGAAATTACGAAACTAAACGCGAATTCTAATTTTAAAATTTAAAAAAGTAAGCGCCTTTTTTTGTCAAAGATTTTTTTTTTCTTTTAATTTAACGATCTTGGATTGAGTTTGAAAAGTTTTGGTGGACTTTTGGTGACGATTTTTTTTGTATAGTGAAGATTTTTTGCGAGTGTATTTATGTTTTAAGGTAGGTAAATATTAATTATTTTCAATTAAAAGAGTTATTTAGAAGCAATAATTTTATTTCAAAATATTTGAATTTATTTAACGCTTCGCTAATATATATATTTTTTAAGAAGACCTGTTAAACAACATAGTTTTACAAAAACTACACTGATCTTAGTTTTTAAGGGGTTATTTGGAATTATTTTCTTGCAACTTGGTGTAAAACCCCCTTTGATTAAGAAATACAAATATTCTTAAAAATCCAAAGGTCTTATAAGCGTCACATGAAATAATCCAATAAAATAGTTCTCCAATATAGACTAATTACAGAATATCGTAATTTGAAATTAATAAAAGGTTTATGTTAGATTATGTCATTTTTAGGGATCCGTACCCAAATGCTAAAACGGGAACTCTATTACTAAGACTTCGCTGTTTGTCACAAGACTGTATCTTATTAATCGTGAAAGTTACAGTTAAAATTTCACAGATCATGTGTTACTGTTACAACAAATACTAAAAACCAGAATAAAATAAACGGAACCCTACCTAGCACTTGGCTGATTTTAAAACTTGAGTTTAGCTGAGGCATAAGAAAAAAAAACCCGATCAAGTTCAACCTATCTTCCGTGATCAAGAATCACGTGTAAAGAATAGATAACAATCGCAGTGTAAACTTTAATACGGATTAAAGCTTAAGAAAACTGTCGTTCCTATAAAATTCGCAAGAATTGTCAATTTATATTTTAATTTTACTAAGAGCATAAAAGAAACATTATTCAAATCATTCTTTAATGTAACGTAGGGTACATTATTAGATTTAAGATGATAGTTATCTCAACTATGGCAATTTAATTGGTGTTATCATCACGAGAAATCTTTTATATCCATTATTCTATACCTTATTACCACAGAAGATTATTACATTTTTTTTTCTGCGAAGACATTTATTTAGCCAATAGGAGCTTTTAAATTGAAGCAATAAATTGAAATCGCATTAAACAAATTAAATAATTGGTAAAGAATGTAAACCCTTTTTGAAAAAAAAAAAACAATTATATACCTATATTTGACAAAGAACTTTATTTCACTGATTAGATTCATAAGTGCTTAATTACACGGACACTTCAGTGGCAGCATTCAAAACAAATAACAACTAGTGTTGTAGTTCATTCATTAAAAAAATTCAAAATCAGAATTGCGGAAACTTTCATTTTAAACCAAAGAAAGAACTCTTTGTATACGAATATGAGTTTATCAATTGACTATCTACATACTTCCAAAACACATTTCAATTGTTTGCATATCGTTAGCATTCAATTTGAAACTAACTATACTCCATTCATTATAGCATTAGCCAGAAGTGAAATAAGGATCTTTTTATGGTATACTTTGTGACAAAATATCAATAATCATGTTACTTTTAAGACTGACAGCTAATTTGCTACATATCCACTTAAATATCAGCTGCTATACTTAACTATTGTTATTTAAGCTATCTATTAAACAAATTTATGAGTATATGACTCACTTAAATGATTTAATAAGTATTACAATAAAAAGTGTTCATCGTAAAGAACCTAAAGAAGCAGGGTTGGATAGTTTCGGCACGATTCTCATGTCACTATAACTCTATCAAATTTAAAACGTTGCCTAACCCCTTCAAACGTTTCGGTAGTACAGCTTTTTAATTTTGTCAGACTATTATTTATTAATAATTGCTAAAATCGTAATCTGGGATTGTCATCCTTTGTGAATACTTTTGTCTTTCTTGTTGTTTTGCCGTTTTCCATGATGTTATTGTATTATTTTTGTTGTTAAGTTTTGGTAAATATGGACGATGCCGATACAGGCCCGAGTGGCCTACAAAAATTACGCTCTAAGCCCCCATACCTACCCTCAAACTTTGACATTTCAGGGAGTTTTTCCAATGTCTTCATCAATAGTCTAACTTATTACACTTACAATTAGAATTTATCAAAACACACAGATAGTTTCAGTTTTAGTTCCATGTTGGCTTGGGACTAAAAGATGAATTTATAAAATGCTGGCCTCATCTCAACCCCGAAGTATCATAAAAAATGGAAAATTGCCCAGCTCTTTCAGACGAACTAACGTTCAAAGTTTCAACAAAACTAATATAGATTTTTAAAATTTATCTTGAAAATAAAATGTTCTGCACTGCTGCTTCTATGACCCTCTTTTTTCTAATGTTATAGTGAATGGAGTATAAGTAGCTGTAAATACATTTTTTGATTATTCTTAGTCAATCTATAATATAATAAATTTGGGATATTTTTTTCAAACAAAAGCTGTGGGCCTGCATGTATAAGGAATTTATGTTCTAATAAATCTCAATAATTATTCCTTTAGTAATAAATAATAATAGAATTTCTAGGTAAAATAATTGGATGCTTCTGGCAATATGATGCATTGTGGAGTCTTCCTTCAATGCGAAAAATACCCACTTCATATATAAAATAATTTAAAGATTTTAGTTTGTATTAAATAAACTTATCTGATTGTAAAGTCGACTTTTCACTAAAGTAGTTAACTTGTTCATTTACGATTAGACGTATTTTATTAACATAAGGTTTTTGAATTTAGTTAAAGTCCAAAAAATCGACTTTGTGATGCGATATATCGATATCGACTCTAATCGATATATAGGGAACTCGATATTTTTATGAAACATGCACCTATACTAGTGAGAGAGACTGTTAAGAATTTGTATGGAGATTTGTAGTTCTTGGTAGTTACCGCTGTACGGGCGCTGTTCCAGATTCCATATTAAAACCTTAACGAGCTCGCGATCGACGGTGAACGTAAACGTAAAAAACCTTACACTAAGCGCCACCTAAGCGCTCTGCAATACAGTGCGGGACATCTCATGCGAAGAAAATGGCCCTTGCTGAAGTTCTTGCCGGTTTTTCTCGGTACAGTACAGTCTCCCGCTATATATTCGCAGACTGAATAAAATATGTTTATTTTTTATTTTCGATCTATATGTAAGATTAACTAATGAATAACCAAACAATGAAAATGAGACAAAAAATATAAAGCGACAGGCATTTCCAAAAATAAACAGATTCAAGAATAACAAACAAAAACATTTCCAGTTTTTTATACGTAATATGTATATAAAATTTTGTTAGCACAAATGTAATTATCACTCCTCTTTTGATACCTCCGTGCCCGTGAGTGGTTCGCACGCCGGTTTCGAGGTGTCGCCAGCTCTGAGGTTCTGACGTTCGATACCCGGTCAGATCAAGGTATAAAATTAACTTTTCAACATTTTCTGTTGTGTTGTAGAACGGTAATACCTTAGTTGTTTCCTTTCATAACTTAAGCCTTCGTATAATATTTGGATTAAAGGTTCTTCTTCCTTTATTAATGGTTTATCTGCACATTTCTGCCAATGTAAAGTTAACAAATTTCTTTATGTAAAATGAAATTATTGAAAAATAGCGATCAAAAATCGGATTAAACGTAATATTTGTTGATAACAAATTGACAATGCCAAAAAACGTCAAGTTGAGACGTTTTGACTTATTTTGGTCGAATAATGGACTGAACCTGGTACTAAACTTGTCCTCATTTTATAATAAGACAGAAGGGGTTAAGCTATAATACAGTTATGTCATAGGCAGCATTTGAACTTCAATTAAAATCTTTATTATCTTTTGAAGTCCTTATTATCTGCTAATTCAGTCCATAACTTTTTGGATAAGACGCGTCCTTCCTTTGAGTGCACTTGACGTAGGGCTAGGTCCGTGTGCCTCTAAATAAAATTAATAGCTCTATTTGTCTTAATGAAACCGGTTTCAGGCTCATTTTTGTTTAATTTGTCGTACCATAAATGTTTTCACAAAAACACAAACTTTTAAATTATTGACAGAAAGATATAAATTATGACATAAATGAAATGTTGCCCGCACAAAATTTTCCTCTGCCAAAAAAATACAAAGTCTTATTTTCTGTGTGTTAACTCAGTTTTTATATTTTATATTAGTCAAAATCAACATTATTTATTAAAATATAATTATCATGTAATAAATATCTCAATCAACAGTAAAAATATATGTTTAAACAACACGGTAGCATACAAATTAATCTTACTGGCAAGTGTATTGGTTTTCGATTGATGAGTCGTTGAGTTTTGATCCTTTCGAGTCGAAGTTCTATTGTAGATCGTTCGACAATCACCCGAACAGCAAATTTCGATAGGACTTAGAAGTCCAAATAACACTGAAGTTTATAAACCGTTCGATAGATCGAAGGATTTATAAACTTCAGTGTTATTTGGATTGTTCATAGTTACGTGAATTGGGCTACTGGGCGGTCATCGACGCTATTTTTTTTAACCGAATAGAATGCTATTCCATTCACTTCTTAATAACGTATTTTATCTTGTTTAATATTTATTATTATAATTCCCACCTTGACGCATAAAAAGTTAAGGGCAGAATATTGTAAATATTTACCCGCATTATGATGATATAATTTCTATGACGGCATGAGTCAGGGTGCATTAGATAGTTTTATCTAGTCGTTAATAATTATCTAAAGTTATTAGTTCCGTTAACCAGTAAATGAAAACAAGTCTCTTTAGGTCAAATATCAAACTGCCTTTATCAATAATAAGGAACGTGCAATAATATTAATGATAATCGTAATGAAAGTAAAAAGTTTTGTATTAAATAAAAAAATATATTTCAAGTGATATTGACGAAACAACTATCGATAAAAAAAAACTATAATCAATTCATAATGTGGTAAGAACGAATAATTTAAATAAATAGCTATTTATCGACTTGGCAAAGTGTTTGTAGTTCTTAAAACGCTTATCCGATTTTCATAAAACATAGCTAAGCCCCGGCGAGATGAACAAGGTTTTCGATTCAAAAAAAAACAGCACTTAAGGCTCTTGTACCTCCGCTTACGTTCCTATACCAATACGCAAATAAATACACATTGAATATATTTTTTATTTATTTCAGTTGAAATATATTTTTAAAATCG